GTATTTTCTGATGTTTTTCAAAAAGATGTTTTTATTGCCCAGCTGGCATGGCTGAGTGGTTGAACGTCAACCTATGAATCAGGAGGTCATGGTTCGATTCCCGGTTAGGACACATGCCTAGGTTGTGGGCTTAATCCCAGTGGGGGTCCTGCAGGAGGAAGCTGATCAATGATTCTCTCTCATCATTGATGTTTCTCTCCCTCTCCCTTCCTCTCTGAAATCAATAAAAATATATTTTAAAAACATGTTTTTTTTGCCCTGACTGGTTTGGCTCAGTGGATAGAGCGTCGGCCTGCGGACTCAAGGGTCCCGGGTTCAATTCCAGTGAAGGGCATGTACGTTGGTTGTATATAGGCACATCCCCAGTGGGGGGTATGCAGGAGGCACCCTGACTGGGACTGCTTGGTGCATGCCTCGACCTTCAACCACAGCCACACAGGGCCAGGCTATTTCCTCATATTTTCTGATATTTTAATAAGGAATACATAATTCTGGTATAGTATATTAAAACAAGTTTTTCAGGTACAAAATTTTTAAATAGTTAACCAAACAGACTGGAAATTAAGCAGCCCAACAGAGGTTCCTTCTCATTTAAATGGCCCCTCCACTTACTAGTATATACAAGGGAAGACCTAGGGATTGAAATAGGTAGGGCCAGACTTTGACTAGAAAGAATTGGAGTCTGGCCCCGCAGGTGTGGCTCAGTGGTTGATCATTGACCTATGAATCAGGAGACCATGCTTTGATTCTGGGTCAGGGCACATGCTTGGGTTGCAGGCTCTATCCCCAGTAGGGGGTGTGCAGGAGGCCGCTGACCAATGATTCTCTCTAATCACTGATGTTTCTCCCTTTCCCTCTCTGAAATCAATATGAATATATATATTTTTTTTTCTTTTTTTTTCTTTTTTAAAAGAAAGATTGATGTTTGGTTTGGCTCAATGGATAGAACATCTGCCTGCAGACTAAAGGCATGTACCTCAGTTGCAGGCTCAGTCCCTGGCCCTGACTGGGAGGCAACCAATCAATGTATCTCTCTCACATTGATGTTTCTCTCTGTCTCTCCCCCTCCCTTCCACTCTCTCTAAAATTCAGTGGAAAAATATCCTCCAATGAGGATTAATAACAAAAAATAAAGTATCTTAAAAAAAAAAAAAGAGCCCTGGCCTGTTTGGCTCAGTGGATAGAACATCGGCCTGCGGACTGAGGGGTCCCGGGTTCGATTCCAATCAGGGGCGCACACCTGGGTTGCGAGCTGGATCCCCAGTAGGGGGTGGGTAGGAGGCAGCTAATCAGTGATTCTCTCTCATCGCTGATGTTTCCCTCCTTCCCTCTCCCTTCTTCTCTGGAATCAATAAAAAATAACAAGTAACAAACAAAAAAAAAAAGAGGAAAGAATTGGAGCCTGCTTTAAAACAGAGTAAATGAGCAATCTCTAAGGTTCTATATTAACACTGTCCAATATCCTCCTATATAATAAAAGGCTAATATGCAAATCAACTGAATGGCAGAATGACCAGTTGCTATGACAGGCACTGACCACCAGGGGGCAGATGCTCAACGCAGGAGCTGCCCCCTGGTGGTCAGTGCACTCCCATAGGGGGAGTGCTCTCAGCCAGAAGCCAGGCTCATGGCTGGTAAGCACAGTGGCAGTGGCAGGAGCCTCTCCGGCCTCTGCGGCAGTGCTAAGAATGTCTGACTGATGGCTTGGGCCCGCTCCCTGCAGGGACATCCCCTGAGGGCCGGGCTGAGGGATCGCCCCCCACACCAGTGCACAAATTTTGTGCACCAGGCCTCTAGTAAATATAATACAAGCCACAGATGTCGTTTTACATTTTCCAGTAGCCTCATTTAAAATAAGCCAGTGTGGCTTAGTTGGTTGGAGCATTGTCCTGTGAACTGAAAGGTTGTGGGTTCAATTCCGGGTCAGGGCACATACCTACGTTGTGGGTTCGATTCCCAATTGGAGTGCATTCAAGAAGGTAACAGATCGATGTTCCTTTCTCACATCAATGTTTCTCTCTTCCCCTCCGCCTCTCTCTAAAATCAGTAAGTATGTCCTCATCCCTCCGCCTCTAAAATCAGTAAGTATGTCCTCAGGCGAGGATTAAAAAAACAAACAAAACCCAGTAAAACTAATTTTAATAATATTTTATTTAACCCAGTATATAAAAACTTAAAATTTCAATCTATAATTAATATTAAACAATTAAGTTATTTTATAGTCTCTTTTTCATCTAAGTCATTGAAATTGGGTGTATATTTGACACTGCCAGCACATCTCATTTTAGACTATTCATTGCTTCATAGGCTCAGTACCCATGTGTGACTATTAGTAGTTCTAGATTATAGGGAAGTATTGTAGCCGGTAAAAATTTCAAAGCAGAGTTCTGGCCAGGTAGCTCAGTTGGTTAGAGCATCATCCCAATACTCCAAGGTTGCGGGTTTAATCCCCCATCAGGGCACATACAAGAATCAACCAATGAATTCATAAATAAATGGAACAACAAATAGATTTTCTTTCTCCAAAATCAATCAATAAATAAAATTAAGCAAAAAGAAAATTTCAAAGCAGGAGTCAAAAATGGGCACGAAACTACCAAGAAGCCAAGTATTTATGTTTAGTGAGAAAACTTTTCCCTTCCAGACAAAACTGGAGATATCCTCATTCATTTTACTAATAATTCTCCTTTATGCAATTGCACTGACCATTCACTTCTGTTAACACATTTTTCCTTCTTGAGCACATCACTGAGTTTCCATTTTCCCAAAATTCTTCAGCTCTCTATTGATAGGTTATTACTGAAGGAAAATAATATACATAATGGGTGGATCTCATATTATTACATATGCTAACTTTAAAAAAAATCCTCAGAGTCATCTCTTTGATGTTCTTTATATATTAATAACAGGCAAGGAATCAGATTTTACAGAAGATGATTCACTTAGTTACCACTTATTAAGCACACAGGGATAGGGAATGGGTAAATATCAGTAAGATGGTATCCATGCCTTCTAACAGGGAAGTATCTTTACAAGTCACCATTCAAATATCTTTTTTAATGTGTTTGAAAAAGTAATCATGCTTATTAGAGTAAGTTTGGAAGTTGGCGTTTTTACAAATTTTAAATAGCCCTCCCCCCCGACACACCACCACCACCACAAAAGTAATAATAATAATAATATATGATATTGTGGAAAAATTTTAGAACATAGAAAATTATAAAGAAGATGATCAATCATAATCCTACTACCTGGAAAGAACCACTATTAATGTTTTGGCATATCGCTTTCCCATCTTTTATGATCATACTTATACATAATATATAATTTATACTCCAATTCTGATTATTATTATATAGTAAGCATTTTTTTATCATTAAAATATTTTGAAGGTATAATGACTATGAAAAATTACATCTATGTTTGTACAATAATTTTCTTGAAAATGCCCACTTGGACATTCAAGTTGTTTACATTTTTTCATTTTGATGGATATTTTAATTCTCAAATATTTTCCCAGTTTTTAGATTATTTGTTAATGAAATATGTTTTAATTGATTTTAGAGAGAGGGAGGGAGAGGGAGAAAGATAGAAACATCAATGATGACAGAGAATCATTGATCGGCTGCCCCCTGCACATCCCCTACTGGGCATCCAGCGTGCAACCCGGGTATGTGCTCTGACCAAGAATCAATCTATGCTCGCGTTCACACCCACCAGGCTAGATTATTTCTTTAGAACAGATGATAAGAAACACAATTGCTGAGTTAAGAATTTCAACATTTTCTTTCTTTTTTTTAACACCAAGCAACTTACAGGGCTACTGCTTCAAGAATTTCAACATTTTAAAAGCTTTTGGTGCCCTAACTGGTTTGGCTCAGTGGATAGAATGTTGGCCTGCGGACTCAAGGGTCCCGGGTTCGATTCTGGTCAAGGGCATGTACCTTGGTTGCAGGCACATCCTCCTTTCAGTCCGCAGGCCGACGCTCTATCCACTGAGCCAAACCAGTTTCAGCGTTTTTTAAAAAAGCTTTTGATACATACTGCCAAAGATAAGACTATACTGGTTTTTGTTTCTTTTTACCCCCAATACCTAATTTTTGTTTTTTTTTTTAAAATAAGATATACATAGTTTTAGTCATTCTTTATATACAATTTTGCATTCTACTTTTTTGGACTAACAAAAATGTTTGTTATCACACACTATGTGTAAACCTTTTATTTTTATTTTGTTGGTTAATCCTCACCTGGGATCTTTTTCTATTGATTTTTAGAGAGAGTGGAAGGGAGAGGAAGAGACAAAGAGAAACATCAATGTGAGAGACACATTGATTGGTTGCCTTCTGTAGGCACCTCGACCAGGGCTGGAGAACCTGCAACCAAGGTACGTGCCCTTGACTGGGATCAAACCTGGGACCCTTCAGGCTGAGGGCCAACGCTCTATCCACTCATCCAAATCGGCTACGGCTGTGTAAACCTTTTAATAGGTACATAATAAACTTTAGAGTATTATAGTTTGCCTACACACTTGTCTATTGTTGGAACTTAGTTTTTTTTTCCAGTTTCAGCATCAGATATAGTGTAATCTTTGTGTTTTAAAACAAACCTTACAGTAATTTTGATAGATCTGAACTTTGAAAACTGACTTTTAATTCCCTGCTCACTTCTAATTAGTCTCATGACTTGGGCAAGTTACTTTACTTTTTCCTCATCTGTAAAAAAGATATGGTTTTGGAAATACTTCCTAGGGTGGTCATGAGACTGCAATGAGATAATATAGTAAAGAGGCTAGGATCGTGCCTATTACAAAATCAAGTGCTCAACAAAATTAGGAATGAGGCATTTAAAAAAATCCCATTTCTCTTAATTGGTTTGATTAGATTAAACTAGGTCCCAATAAAACACCAAAATCTTTATTGGATTAGGTACAGTATAAAAGGTTTTTCTTCCAGTGAACTCACATTTTAGAGCTTGTCTTCCGTGCTGAATTTAGTTCTCCCAGACCACTGGAGCTGATGAAGAAATTTTCAGTGAAATGTTTAAAGGACTGTGACTGTCACTCTGCTCCAAGTTCCCCTGTTTCTGAGGTAAGGATTTGTGAGAAAAAGTGAGTGAGCGGGGAAGAGTGGGGTATACTGAGAAGCTTTTGACTTTTGTTTTTGCAAACAGGGATGTCTTCTAGTCCAAATCCTCCTGCTCCTATTGGAGTTGTTTAACTATTTGGTTGGGCTCGCGTTAAACTGACTTTCAAACCATAGCTTGGTCTGGCTACAAACATCCCTCTTGCCTACTTAGCACCTCCGTTCTTTCATTCTTAACAAATGCATAGGCTCACTATTGAAATATGGCAACTCTGCCTTCCAGGACTAGGTCTCACTGGTATCCAATAGTGCAACAGTGTGGTGGGATCCTGACTGGAGAAAGTCCTCTGGGGTCTGAAGGAGGGTTTGGGGGCTGGGAAAGCACTGAAGATGAAGGGTGGTACCCAGAGCCCCAGTCAATGCATCCTTTGTCAGCGAACATTATTGGACACTTAACTATGTCTAGGTATATTGCCCCACAGGGGAGATGCAAATATAAATAGGATCCAAACTCTTTTCTACAAGTTCTCAGGACCTAGTTAGGAAACGCAACACAAAATAATTAAGGCCACAGTGAAGTATTCCTCCCCCACCACCGCCCCACCAGCACGGGAGAGGTTTGCAACGGTCTTGTGGAAGAGGAGCTGCAGGTACGGAGGCACCGGCGGGTGCAGGTACACGCACCGGAGCGAGTGTGGAAATAACATTTGCGTAGTAGTCTAGTCCTGAGGTCTGTAAGCCACGGTGACCTGACAGCAATGGGGAGCAAACTCAGTCTGGGAGTGGTGCTGATTGGAGGGGCGACCCTGGAAGCCGAGAGACCTATTACGGGGACGGAGCAAAAAGTCCAAGCAAGATAAGGAAGAGGCGAAACTGGAACATGCGCAGAGGCCTTGGAAAATATGTCCGTGCAGGAAGACGGAACGGAGAGGACTCGTGCCTGGTAGCTCTGGAATAAGGATTCCTCCTTGCTTGCTTGTTTGGGAGACCTGGTACATGGTAGTACCAATAATTTGAACGGCAAAAGCAAGCTCCAGATTCTTGGGCACCTCCATTCAGAACCCTCCATTTCAAGCAATATCCCATCTGCAGGTGCTTTTCTGGTCAGGAGACCAGTTTCCAGAAACCGACGCAATGTGTCCTGCTCGTACCTTCCAACAGTTAGGAACCAGTAGTGTCAAATGGTGGCCACCTTAAGACTAGTCATGTGACCTGCGTTTTCCCGTGCGGTAAGCCCGGCATGCCATTTGGGGGCAAGGTTCATCCATCAAAACGGATGTCAGCCCGTCGCGAGCCAATCGACATCTGAGACTGGGCCGCTGCGTCCAAGCAATCGGAGGATTGGTCCTTTCCACTTGTCTAGCCAGCGACCAATCACGAAGCGGCATATACCTCGTGCACCCGCCCATAAACGGAAGAAGCAGGAAAGTCGTCACAGCGTGTCGGTATTGTTACCTAAGGACTTCAGAGGAGGTGGGACGCGTGTTGATTGACTGGCCGATTTCACCTACCGGGATTTGAGAATTTGGAGCAATCCCCCGCCTTGGAGGTGGGGTCTTATTTGATTGCCAAGTAACATTCCCCAATGGAGTCTTAGCTCGTAGTGACGGGCAGGCTGCTTGACTAATGAGTCGTCGGCGTGGCCCGCACAGCTCTCCAATCG